AACCCAAACCACTCTTAGAGTCTACAGCGGACTCGGTGGGATGGAAACACTGCTCCCCACACCCAGCTCCTCTTCTCACGAGGGAGAGTGCTCGCTGCAACCACCGGCAGCCGGCTGCAACCACCGGCAGCCGACCAGCTCTGGGCTTTCTGCAGACCCTGCTCTCAAAAAGGAAACGCATCCACCAGGCACAGGGCTCCAGGGCTCTCATCTGCTGCTCTGCTTCAGAAGGACCAGAGCACCCCCAGCAGAGGCCAAAACCCTGAGCTGGAAAAGGCGAGAAAAGGCTCTCCTCACCCCATCCTCTCCCCAGCCACTGCAAGTGGTTTCAAAGTCACCTAAAAAACTCTCCCTGCTCCCCTCGAAGTGCTGACTGAGTCCTCGTGTCCTCTCCTGCACCTGGGTTCACGGCCATCACCCCCCACCTCTCCCCTCCCCCCCTCCCAGGCACGGGGCTCGCGCCAGCCCGGAGCCGGACAGCTCCCGAGGCACAGCCAGGGCTTGGTCCTCCGGACGAGCACATCATAGGTGTGGACAATGGGATGAAGCAGCTTCCCCCTCATCCAGCGAGCTGGGACAACCACCGCCTCATCCTTCCCTACCGCTCCCAGCACACGCATCCCGGATGAAGGTGCAGCGGGTCCAGGGCTGGCGTCCCTGCGCTGGCGGCTGGACAAGGAATGAAGATGGTTGACATGCACCGCAGGCTCTGATCGGCCGTTTCATTGTGCGAGGTTAGTAATCGTTACTGCCGCTCTACTCTGCGTTAGAAGCATGCCTCTGGAGCGCTCCGAGTGCCAGGGGGACGACCCTTGGAAAGCACCAGCAAGGCGAAAGAGCTCAGCACGGCGACCTCGCTCCAGCCAGAAGAATGGCAGCGTGCTACAGAGATCAGAACTAAAGCACGCCGAGAGGTGCTGAGTTTAAGCCATTTCAGATTAGGATTTCAAGTCCTGGGCACCACACACACGTCTGTGCAACACTCATGCATCTTTCGCTCGAAGGCGTTGGGATTTCCACCTCTCTGCTTGGATGGGAACGCATCCCAAAGCTTCCTTGTGATGATCACCAGCAGGGACTCATAGCTCAGCCTTGGAAAAAGGAGGCAGTTCAGGGATTTACAGACGCTGCGGCAGGCTGGGAGCGAAGGAGGGCAGGGCATTGTCGCAGGGGCACACCAGAGGTGCTCCTCAGCCCTGCAGAGATGATGCCAGCCTGCTCCCCCGCAGCCATGGGGCCCCCCAGGGGCAGCAAGAGGAGCCGAGGGAACAAAATGTCTCTGCTTTGCATTTCCAGAAGATGCAATTGCTTCCACCCCTGGATGAGCAAGTTCAATGACATAATTAATTGGCACCGGTTGGAGGAGAAACATGAGCCAAGCAATAGGGTTTTGGCACAGGACCCACTTGCCAGGACAGCCAGAGGGGGGCAGAACTGCTCCACAGTCACCAGCTGACTATAAATTTGGAGTGATCATTACTAAGGAAACTTAAGACCTTTCCCCCCTCACTGGTGAAGCAATCTACCTAGGAAGCTGTGAAAGAGAGAGGAGCTCAAGCAATGCAGCACTAACTGCTCTCAAAGCCCTCACCCAGTTTGTCTGTGGATGTGATAATATCGGCTGGAAGGGAGGAGTCCAGGTCTGCATCCAAGATGCCCAGTGGGTCGAGTTGTGCTACATGATGCCCTCGAATCTATGAAATGGGCCGGGGATGGAAAGGAGAACAGGTACCGGGAGGGAGAGGGGAAAGGGAGAAAAACAAAAGAGGGGAGGGGTAAAAAAGTTAAATTACATTCGAATTAATTTGCAGAGTAATTCTCACCGACGTTTGGAGAAACAGTTACTGGCGCATCATCAAAATTTACACAACTAATGCCGAGAGGATCAAGCTTTGCAATGTGGTGACCCCTGACCTGGAAGCAACAACACAGATTAGTCGTTAAAACAAGTTAATTGAAGTGACATCCCTTAAATTTTTTAAAAAGCCATGCAGTTTCCATCTTTACATTTTCTGCAGAGCCACCCCAGTTTCTGGCTGCAACTGCAGCCTGGAGAAGGTGGGTTTACTCTCAACTACAGCATGTGGGTGTGAGCGCTGCCGCTGCTGGGACCGCTCCACTCTGCCCGATGCCAGGCTCCAGCGGGTGGGCAGGGGGACGGTGACCTCCTTCCCAGCAGAGACCTTCCAGAACTGAGCTCTGAGGGTCTCCCACCGCTTGCCTGGAGCCCAGCCCAAGCACCCCCTCTCTCCAGATGCAGGAACTCCACACCAATTATTTCCTCCTCAGCATCACAGCAAATGAAGTGACCATTTTCCAGATTTTGGCATGTCTAGGTGCTCTCCTGCCAACGTGACAGAGAAAAGCAGCGTTGCCACCAGCAGCAGTGGCTCCTGAAAGGCAGAGGAACGTGTCTGAGGAACATCTGCGGGTCTGTGCTATCAGAGGACAGCAGCTCCCAGTATCCTTCTGAGCCGCTCCCAGCATCCTTCCGGAGAGAGGGCACTCTTCTGGGAAGGAGCAGGCATGGAAACACCAAAAAGCTTTGGCACCAGGAGAGCCTGGATGGCTGTCGGTGGCAGTCATCAGGGCAGGAGTCACCACCCTTGGCATGGGGAGCCACGGAGAATAACGAGAGGTAACGAGGAGTCTTACTTCTCGCCTTCACGGGAGGAGGTGCCCGCAGACGGACCCTGCCACGTCTCGCCGGGCAGACTCTCCGCGGCCAGCGCTCTCTGGCTGCCAAGCCACGGTTTGTTTCTTGACAGCTCCTGCTCTTGAAGCGTCGGGCTGAGCTACGCCGGGAGCGGGGCAGGAAACCCCACCATGGTACCGGCTGCGGTGCCTTCTGTTCGCTGCGGAAATGACACTCCGGGCCATTGACTCTGTCACCAGTTAGAAACATCACTTGTACAGGAGGGGATCACTGAACCTCTGGTACAAACCCGACACACTGATCTGACCTCATTTACCTCATTCCCATCCAGAGCATCCCACGGGGATTTTAGGAAAAGACTTTTGGGGGTTTTAGCAGCCAAAGAGCCTGAAATCCGCAGCCAACCTCAAAGCAAACAGCCAAGAAGGCACCAATCCCGCCCAGCTCTCTGCAGGGCCAGCTGACGACGTGCCCCTGAGCGCTGGTGGCCACACGCAAAGCTCTTCTTCTGGGACAGCTTTGGCTGGCATCTATTCACTTGTCCATCCTGCAACAAAGCCGCAGTGGGGGCAAGTCCATCATCTAGCAGTCGGCAGGACGCACGCTCACCGTGCCCTTCCCTACAGCCGGGGTGCTCTCAGCTGCTTTGTCCGACAAACGGCTTTGAGCTGGGGACATCTGCTGGCTTTGAGGCGAACTCAGCAGTTTGCAGGTAGGCAGCAAATCCTCAAACCAGCGTGGGAGCCAGGAGAAGGTATCTTCCCTCGTAGGAGCTTGTTATTCTCCAAGCCAGGCAGATGGTTTTCCCCCAGGCCAAAAGAAAACCAGATATTTGCAGGAAGCATCACCCCGACCCTGACAGGAGACTTCAACCACCCAGACGTCTGCTGGAAACGCAGTGCAGCCAACTGCCAGCAGCCCAGGAAATGACAGGAGTGTGTTGAGGACACCTTCCTGGATGAGAGGATGGAGAACCCGCCCGGAGGAGAGGCACTGCTGGACCCGTCGCTCGCTAATGCAGAACCCCACGGAGAGGCCAAGCCTGGAGGCAGCTGGAGCCGCAGCGGTCACACCCTGGTCAAACTCACAATCTTGAAAAAAATCTCAATCTTGAAAACATAGAGTCAGGACCCCAAACATCAGAAAGGCAAATTTTTGGCTGCTTAGGGCACCAGTACATGGGATCCCCTGGGAAACTGCCCTCGGAGGCAAAGGAGCGAACGAGAGCTGGGGGAGATCTAAAGACACATTTTCTTAGGGCGCGAGAGGTCTCAGTCCCGACGGGGGAGACGTGGGGCAGAGGAGGCAGGAGGCCAGCTGGGACAAGTCCAGCGCTCCCAGCCAAACTGAAACACAAACCAACGTGCACAGGCAGCAGGGACAGGGACACATCCCGGGGAGGGGATGGGGATGTGGCCTGGGAGGACAGGGAGGGGATCGGGAGGGCCAGGGCACAGCCGGAGCTGAACTTGGCCACATCCACGGGACAACAGAGGAAGACGAAAGGAACTGTAACCCCTGGTGAGAAACGGGAGAGCTGGTACGGCCGCCACGGAGCAGGCTGAGGGACTTCACAGCTTACGTGCCTCAGTTGTCACCACCAAGTGCTCCAGGCACAGCATCCAGCTCACAGAACCCAAAGGCAGGGGCTGGGAGAACGAAGCACGGCCCAACACAGGGGAACAGCAGGTTGGAGACCATGGAGGGAACCTGAAGGTGCACAAGTCCCTGGGACCTGATGAGATCCATCCGGGTGAAGCCGCTCAGCTGCTGTGCGGGGTTTGGCTGGGACAGGGTTAATTTCCTCCATGGCAGCTGGTAGGGGGCTGTGTTTTGGATTTGTGCTGGAAGCAGTGCTGCTCACCCCGGATGCCTCAGCCCTGGCTGAGCAGTGCTCACACAGCATCGAGACCTCTTCTGCTCCTCAGCCCCGCAGCGAGCAGGCTGGGGGTGCCCCAGGGTTTGGGGGGTACACAGCCGGGACAGCTGAGCCCAACCGACCCAAGGGATATCCCACACCGCATGGCGCCACGCTCAGCAATAACGCTGGGGAAGAAGGAAGGGGGGATGTTCAGAGCTATGGCGTTTCTCCTCCCACGTCCCCGTTACACGTGACGGAGGCCGGCTGTCCCGGGGATGGCTGAACACCCGCCTGCGATGGGAAGGGGTGAATGGATTCCTTGTTTTGCTTTGCTTGTGTGCACGGCTTTTGCTTTACTTATCACACTGTCTTTATGTCAATCCATGAGTTTTCTCACTGTTACCCTTGTGATTAGGAAGAAATGTTTTCCTGTGCAGGGGGTGAGGCAGTGGTACCCCCTTGGAGCAGCTGTGGATGCCCCATCCCTGGAGGGGTTCCAGGCCAGGCTGGATGAGGCTTTGGGCAACCTGGGCTGGTGGGAGGTGTCCCTGCCCATGGCAGGGGGTGGGACTGGATGGGCTTTAAGGTCCCTTCTGACCCAAACCATTCTGGGATTCTGTGATTCTCTCCCTCATCGCACCGTAGGGGAGCGAGCAAGCGGCTGTGAGGTGCTCATTGCCGGATGGGGTTAAACCACAACAGCCCTTTTTAGTGCCCAGTGTGGAGCTCAAAGGGTTCAAGATAACGACAGATTTGACTGGAATGTGCTAGATTGAATTTATAGCTGTTACTGCTGTTTAGCTATTAATTGTCAAGCTCCCATGCTTGCCTTACTGTAAATTAGAGTCTCGTGCTCGTTAGGGGCTGCTTTTTGCTTTCGCTGGTTGCTGTACTGCTGTGCTGCTTATCACTTTCCTCCGCTGCGGCTGGG